TATTTTATATTTTATTTATAATTATAATTACCAATATTATATTTTTATTTATTTTTATATGTTTTATACTTACTAAATAAGCATAATTTTTATTAAGTATATATTCATACCTAATTTAATTTAGCTTTAGGATTAAAAAACCTTGGAATGCCTATATTCGGACCGTTTTCGGTCCGTATAAAGTTACATCGGTCCGTATATACACTTGAACAATTGCTTTTTATTTTTTTTGTTATTTTGTTCTTAAGTCATTCTACTCTCGTTTTAAACCGTAACATTCCGAATATTTGCATACCAAAGTAGTTAACCTTAACAAAAAAAATTAATTTTATTTGCTTGTGACTCCGAAAGAGCATTACGTAACATTATCTCTAATAACCTTCAGCTTACACGTTCGTGGTTTTGCAACGATATTACTTCTAACCATCGTAAGATAATTTCAAGTAGACAATCGATAGTTTTGTGGTTTCAAGGGACTGTAGGGTCGATGTAAATGCAATTGGTTTTCACAGGAATGGATTTAGGACATGAGAAAACTGTGATGTCCTTAAATGAAAAGAATAAAAATGTGCACTGGGAGAAGTTTCTAGATTTTTTCTAGTATATTCGGACCAAAATTGGTCTGAAAAATGAAAAGTATGGAAGCTTCTGGATTCTTTGCATATATTCAGACCAAATCTGATCCGTATATATATTCATATTTAATTTAATTTAGTTTTAGGATTGAAAATCCCTCGGAGTGCCTATATTCGGACCGATACCGGCCCGTATAACTTTATATGGACCGATATCGGTCCGAATATACACATGAACAGCAGCTTTTTATTTTTTTTTTTTGTTATTTCGTGCTTGAGTCGTTCTACTCTCGTTTTAAACTGTAACATTCCGAATGTTTGCAAGCCAAAGTGGTTAACCTTAAGAAAAAAAATGAATTTTATTTGCTTGTGATTCCGAAAGAGCATTACGTAACATTATCTCTAATAACCTTTAACTTATACGTTCGTGGTTTTGCAACGATATTATTCCGTACCATCGTAAGATAATTTCAGGTAGACAATCGATGGTTTTGTTGTTCCAAGGGACTGTAGGGTCGATGTAAATGCAATTGGTTTTCGTAGGAATGGATTTAGGACACGAGAAGATGGTGATGTCCTTAAATGAAAAGAATAAAAATGTGCACTGGGAGAAGTTTCTGGATTTTTTCTAGTATATTCGGACCAAAATTGGTCTAGAAAATGAAAAGCATGGAAGCTTCTAGATTCTTTGCATATATTCATACCAAATCCGGTCCGTATATATATTCATACTTAATTTAATTTAACTTTAGGATTGAAAATCCCTTAGAGTGCCTATATTCAGACCGATACCGGTCCGTATAACTTTATCTGGACCATTATCGGTCCGAATATACACATGAACAGCAGCTTTTTATTTTTTTTTTTGTTATTTCGTGCTTGAGTCATTCTGCTCTCGTTTTAAACCGTAACATTCCAAATGTTTGCAGCAAAAGGTATCCGTTTGCCTTTTAACTTTTTGAATTTGAGGGTTTTTACCCTCCATATTACAATACATGGATTTTTACCCTCAATATTTTCGAGTTTGAGGAAATGAGGCAAAATTTAATGCTGGAGCATCACGTGTAGCACATGCACCGTTAGCCTCCGTTAAGTATGCACATGTCAGCACCAACTCAAACTTTTTTGACAACTTGGCATGCCAACTTGAAACCCCATGAGCAGGAAGTCTACCTGCTACCAATTTTATTTGTGGGCTCCATCGCTGACTAAAGGTTTGAAAATTACTATTCTTCCGTTTTTCAAGATTTGATATCTCAACCAAATTCCATGTCTCTCTGCGTGGAGACGCCCAGCGGGCAGGAAGTTTTCGCTTTGAAAGAGATAGGCGTGAAGAACTCGATCGGGATTTTCAAAAAAGCGTCGAAGCCCCTGGTGATTTCGGGGGAGGGGCATCGAATACCATTCGCTAACAATACCTTTGACTTCATATTCTCCGGCGGTGCTCGCCTTGACAAATCGGCTTGGCCGTCGGAGTTTGCTTTCGAAATCACAAGGACGCTGAAGCCCGAAGGGTTTCTGGTGGCCCATGTCAAAGCCAAAGATAAGTATAGCTTCAATTCTTTCCTTGATTTCTTTGATTCTTGCGAGTTAGTGAAAATGCGCCATATAGATGGTTTCGATTCTTCCCTACCTTATATTAGGGAAATTGTGATGAAGAAAAAG